ATCAAATTTTTTTTTATTGTTCCGTAATCAAAGATATTTTTGAACTTCTTATCAAAGATGGAGGAAAAAATTATGCACAAAAATGTTGACAATTAGTATTTAAGCAAAAAAATAAATAAAGACGCTTTCAAAATGTGGCAAAATTACAAGCAAGGAATAAAATGAAATTGCTATTAACACTTATTATATCTTTCTGAATTATATTTCTGTTGTGGTGACTAAAATTGTATTAAATTTCATTATTTAAACCAAAATTAAATTCATTTTGTTACCATTTGTAAACATTAGTCACAAAAAGTTTTAATTATCTATTTCTTGGCTGGCACCGTGCACGAATTAAATAATATGGTTAATTAAAAGTCAATATTTTTAGATCCATAAGTAAAGCAATATTTATAGATTAAAAACATAAGGGAACCATGGAACTTCAAAACGATTGTTTTATTTTTAGTCCTCCTTCTACAAAAAGTATTTCATGTATCTAGTGAAAAAAAAGAAAATGTTTGGAAATATTCAAGAAAAGACTATTTAATTATAGAATTGAAATTGTTCCTTACGTTACCATTTTCTTAAAAATAATTAAAAAAGTTATCACAAATACGATATAGAACAAATGTTGTATAAAAGTTGCAAGCTAATTTTAATCACAAGTATAAAGGTACTTCTTTTTTTATTAAAGAAACAACCTTTGTAGAGAATTTAAAAAATCATGGTTAACAAAGAGTCATATTTTCGATAACTTGATCTATAACGTTAAGCCCCTTAACCCTGTGAAGCAAAATTTTTATTAAATATATTTTTTATACTTTTATATTATTTTGTATTAATGTAGGTCAAAAGAAAGGAAATATATTATATATAACATTTTCATAATTTATAGCTATGGAATAAACAACATGATACATCGGTATGTTTTTTTACGTTAAAAATTAAATCTTCATAACAAGATTAATTTCCAAGCAATAATTATTTTTTTCAAATATGCATTTATTTGAAAAAAAATGCTCATCATTGAAATTTCTTTAATTTATAAAAACAATTATTCATAAATTTTTGAGTATAAGGGGAAAGATATTTTTTTTTTCCAATTACATTTTTTTCGATTTTATATTTTAGTACAAATATAATCTATTATTTTGTTAATAACTATAAGACTACATTTTATAATTGAAAAGTACCAAAATATTTTTTTGATCATAATTAGAGAGTCAGAAAAAAATATATAAAAAAGACACCTATGTCCCACATGCGTTAAAAAAGCGCTAAATTTAATCATGTTACGACCCAAAATAAATCGCATTCTAAAGAAAACGATTTAAGAAGTACAGAACTTAGCATCACGTAGCAAATCTGAAATATATTTTAATCCAACCTGATCTATGAATTTCTAACGGTAACGATATTAGCGTTTAATCTGCTCTATGAATTTCTAATGTTAACGATACTATGATTCAATGAGCTCTATGAATTTCTAACGGTAACAGTGTGAGACAAATTAAATTATTGGAAAGTTAAATATTGGATGAATTAAAATGTCATCACTGCGTATTTAAAAAAAAATTCTTAAAATATGATTCGAAAATATTTATGAATCCAAAGCTTAAGCAAACAGTTGACCTTGAAACAAGTATAATTATTCTTGGTATTACAGACCTTAATTGTTGTGTGCCAGGCAACTCAAATACAAAATACCTTAAGTGCCGAATTTCGTAAAAAAAAAGAAATAAATGCAAAAAAAATAAATAAATACAAAGAAATATTTTAAACTTATGGAGATAAATAATTTTCAGAATTTTTTTCTTTAATACCATTCAATTAAAAATGCATTTTAAGCTATAATCTTTATTAAATGTAACAATTTTGAACAATGCGAATTAGAACAAAAATTGCATGAAAATTTTTTCATACGTATACAACACCGAAAAAAATGCCAAAATATTTATTTTTTTGCTTGTTTCTACATGCAGCCAAAACGATCACTGACTAGTAAATATTAGATCCACTGTTTGAAGAAAATAACAAAAAATATAAAAAAGTCTCGCCTGTCAACCCCATAAAATTTCATTTTTTCTTTTTTAAATAGAGATTTGAAATTTTACTAAAGAACTTTTAACGAATTTAGAAACGTAAATTACTACAAACTAATAATATTTATGATATAACTTATTCAATAAAATTTTTATCAATAACTATAGTTATTAATACTATTAATATATTTAAAGCGTAAACACCAAATTAATCAAACTGTGTGTAATTGCTAGCCTAGTATTTATATATATATATAGTTTAGAAAGTAAGCAAGTGTTACGATATATATATATATTTCTTTTGGCTCTATACTATCAAAGTTCAATTTTAACAAAAATAAATAAAATATTACTTACCTGATAAAGTTATGACATAAATAAATGATGTAATTTTAATAATATACTAAATGATGTAATAAAATAAATAAAATTATTCCTGAGACTTAAGCATATTCATTCTTATTGCTAGTGTTATCCTTTTCCTTATCTCTAACACGAGTGGGTGTATTATTCCATTTTGTCTTTGCCCTTGGAGTTGAATTTGGGTAGAAGGTCTGCACACTTCATTTATAATAATTGAATTACAACATTATTTAAGTGAAGTAGACTACGGAGGAAGGGGCAAGCAAGTCAAATTATTAAACGTGGCTCGCGGATAAGGAATCTCGAATTAAAGCCACTTTACAATTGTCAGTGTTTTTCTTAATGAATACTTACGCAAATTTTTTTTTAAAAAAATAACAATAACCACAAATATTAGGAAATCGTAGAGAAAGCGAGATGTTTGGTTGATTTAATCTTAAAATTTTTGGAGCGTTTGGTTGTGTCGATATTTAAGCCGCAATAAAACAGAAAAAAAAAGGAGAGAGAGAGGAAGAAGTTTAAAATGTTAGTTTAGGAGAGATTAACAAACCAATTTTGAAGGACGTTTCCTCGGAATATATTGAATCAGTTTACAATTATTTTTTTCCTTTTTTGTTCTTCCTATTATGGGACAAATTTTAATTCTAGACTAATTATGATAACAAATTTTTTCAAATAAATATCTGTGATTTTTTACTTACTGTAGTCGATTGTAAGGCAAAAAAAATTTTTTTTTAATTTAAAAAGCTGATGTTTGCAATTTTTAGGAAAAAAAAAAAACGCACGGTAGCTAGAAAAAAAAAGCCTTTGAAAATCTATTCAGCAATTTTCTATAGATAATTAGGTACAAAAGATAACAGGCACAACATGTTGGCAGTTATCGCCCCTAAATGCCCTGTTGGTAGAGCAATGTTTGACCCAAAGAAAAGCGATATACTTCAAAAGAATAGGTACTCGTATTAAGTACATGAAAAATGATCGAACATTTTACTCGCTAAATCGATTTTGATTGTTATAAAGAAAGCAATAAATGAATTTTGATTTGTCAGATTTACTAGTTACATTATTTACATGAAAAACGATCTAACATTTTAATCACTAAATCGATTGTGATTGTTATATAGAAAGCAATAAATAAACTTTGATTCATCAAATTTACTAGCTACTAATAAAGCTATTACTGCTATAACAGTTTCTATGACTTTGATCACTATTTTATAAGCTTAATTTCTGATAAAACAGTAAAAATTTAAAGGATATATCCAATATAAATACTCGATCTCCCTAATTGATTGTTCTTCTTTCTTACGTTATTCTGTGAAGAAATATGACACGTTCATTATTTCACTCGCTGTTTTGGGTGTTCAACTTTACATTTTGTTTTGTTGTGTAAAAACTTGAAATTACGAAGAAGTGCGAAAAATGTGCATGGAGTACGAATGAACTAAAAAAAAAATTAACCTTAAATTAGTTCAAGAATTATTAATTGTTAAACTTAAAGTTAAAAAAACTAGGACTGCTCCGCAGGCCATAGATGTGTTGAAAGGGCCTTTTTTTGGAAATTTTTATTTGTATAAAATAAATTGCAACTTTAAGTGATTTTCCGCGAATTTTTTATTCCTCTGGCTTTGCATTTCTTTTCGATTAGTTGTGCAAAAAACATTAGAAATTTGAAAGTAATAAGATATGTAAAAAATTTACAAGGAATTTGATGTAATAAAGAAATTCAACATTTAGTTTGAGAGCAACTAACTGTTTAAATCTCTGAATAATTTTTTTCTGTTTAATAAACATGGATAAAAAATTATACGAAAAAATTTATAGTTAGTCTACTGAAAGAACTCCCCTCTACACAAAGTCTAAGGCAGCCTGCGACGATGGAAACAAGAAATAGTGTATTTCATAGAAGGGTGGTTCTCTCCCTCTGGACCAGGACCTAACTTATATATTGATCCAACATCCTTATTTTAAATAGTTAAACCTCGTCATCGTCACTGCTTCAGACGAATGGTGAGGGGAGTTCGTTTCATAGACAGACAATGCTTAGACTTTTATTTTGCTTCGTGTATCTCTGCAGTTGTCTGCATTACAACAGTATTACACTAGAAAACTAATTTTAAGGTTTTTCATATTAAAATGTATGTACTCCGTACAGATAATTTAATGAGTGGATACTTTTAATGAGCAGAATGTATATATATATATATNATATATAAATGAATATATATTATAGGGCAATGCAAATAGAAATCATTCTCTTTTCGTCTTTCTTTTTACATACTCAATCTGGACATTGATCATATAGTTAATTTTTTTAATTTTATCTAAACTTTTGAGTAGTTTTCTTAAAGAAGTTATTAGGTAGATATTCCAATTTAATCAACAAGACTTACAAATCAATAATGTATAAAAAGAAGTAATGTTTTTATACACAAACTAATGAAAATAATAATTAAGTTTTCAACAGAAATTTTATTTCTGAATACAATAAAATAAAAACATTTTGATCATTTTTCATGAATATTTAAAACACTATATACATTTAGACTTATATAATTTTTTTTTAAATTTTAATTTCATACAAAACATAAAAATTTACGGAATTGTTTTTCAGGATATAAAGGAATCACACAACTTAACATTTACTGTAGTTTTTGCTTGTCTTTTTTTCCCTTGAAAACCTAAACTGTATGAATAACTATATTTTTAAAATGCAATTTTCAAAAAAAGAAAAATCTTTAAAAAAAATTCAAAACCTGTTCGATTTCTGAAAATAGATTTATAATATATGTACAAAAAGAATCTAAATATGGAAAATTATAAATTGATTTAAATTTTTGGCTCAGGTATGATAAGGTATCAATAAATGTGCAAATGATAGTTTTAACCTGATGAATTAAATTCTGAGAATTGAATATTTTGAGTGAAACTAAGTCTTATTAAATTACAGTTTTTTTTAAAGAACTTCAATATTAACAATAACAGAAATACTATTATAACTAAATTTATTAAATGCATGCGTAGAATACGGAAATTTATATTTAAAACAAAATATAAATTCAAATTAATATAACATGCTTGACTGTTGTACAAAACAATTTTGATATCAACAACAGTAACAAGAAAATACTGAATATAAGTTTAATGGACAATTCCATGGTGGCAGATGTTACATTTTTATAAGTTTTCTAATGCTTAAATCTTTTTTCACTGATAAATACTTCATAACTTTTTTCTTTTTACAAAAATTATATATGATATTCTTCAATAGCTTAATATTATTATTATGAATTTGTTTTTGGTGTATATAAGCTGGAAATGAATAAAATAAGCCGAATAATGGTTTACTTCGAAAAGAAAACTTTAAAGAATTGCTATAAATGGTAATTAGGGAAACATCTTTCTTTATTAAAGAATTTAGCTATTTGATTTTGATTCAAAAAGCGTGATAGAAAATATTAATGAAATGTTTTACAAATGCCTTTTTTTATCATAATTTGTTCAATATATTGTTATTAGAAATATCATATTTTATTTTCAAAAATGCCATTTTTATTACATTGGTATTTTAATTGAAGTAATTTCATAGAGGCAACCAAAAGATTAAATAAATTATGAATTATGAGTTCGATTGAAATATAATTAGAAGTTTCAAAACTCATCATAGGTAATAAAAAGTATTTAATTCACAGAGTCCTTTTAACTCTTTCACAGAATACACAGGGCTCTAAGGAACAACGTTTGGGAACTGCTAGGTTAAGCATTTCAGAGGAAAGAAAATTTTGCATTATGTACTAAACAAACGCCTAGGTTGATAGTGAAGATCACTATCAACAATGCAATGCAGTTGTAATGTGTTTCCTTCTTTGCTAGTGGACTACAATCCTGATGTCTTTAAAACAGAAGAAACAAGTATTTTCAAATGATTACACGAAAGGACTTAGTTTTAAAAAGGAAAACTGTTACAGGGAAAAAGGGAGTTAGAAAAGAATAACTGTTATGATTGGAAGCAATGTAACAGACACTGAAAAGCTACTAGTTATTGGATTTAGAATAACTAGTTATTTCTAAATTAAATAAATTCAAAGTAAAAGAAAAGCATTTAGTAATAGTACATGATATGACAGACAGTGAATTCAGTATACATCATGAATTTTGAAAGCCAAGAAAAATTCTTTACAAATAAAAAATTACATACACTGAACTTTATTGAAATTCCAGCATTTCTTAAATTACATTATTTATTCATATAATAGTTTTCAAAAATTTAATCTTAATGTAACATACCAATGAAAATATTAAGATGTATTTAAAAATTTTTATGGGGTGATAACTGCACCAAATAGTAAAATACAATTGAGGAACTCCACCCTTTACAAATGTTGCATTGTTAGACTTTAATAGCATCAAACTCATAAAAAATTCAAGCAATACTTATAATTTATGGAAAAATAAGTCTAGGTTTTATTAACAATTTCTCTAATTTTAAGTAACTTTCTAACTGTATTAACTTAATTAGTTTAATAGTAGCTATATTAATTTAATAATAGCTACATTAACTTTAAAAAAATTAAAAACTAGGTGCTACAGTCGTAACACTGCAACAAGCTACATCTGTACAACTTGTCCATAGTACAAACTGTAAAAATTTTAAATTTTTAAAAACTTTTTTAGTTTCTAAAAATTTTTAAACATTGGAGTAAGTGTAAATTTCCCCAAGACTCTATTTCAGAACTGCACAATTTTTTTTAATTGAGTTATATGCATTTAAAATAAGCAAATGGTGGAACTGCCCACAGAAAATTGTCTTTAGGTGTATTTTTTAATGCTTAGAAGTTTTAATTCACAAACCAATTGAATTCAAAAGTGTATTTTAAGTCAAAACAACATAAAAATTTTAAGTCATTTAAAAATATATACACATATATTTCTGGATACACATTCCCATGCACACAAAAGTAATAATAAAGCTAATATCTACATCTTGATTCATAAAACACCAAATAAATAATCCATTCAAATTACATCACTTTTTCATTAATTAACAAGATAATACTTTTATACATGAACAAATTTGCTTCTCATTTATCATTACTCATATTAGATGCTGCTTCCTGTAACTCAGATCTGATCTGTTTGCTCTCTTCCAGCAATTTAAACAGCTCTTCATTGAGACTGTCGTTTTTTCTCTCCAGTGCATCAAGACAGTTGTTGATTTCATCCAACTCATTGCTTAATTGCTGGTAGGCTGAATGGAAACAAAATTACATGTTTTAGTATGAAAACAAAAGGTTGCATTAAAATCTTTTGCACAGAAAAACAAAATTAATTGATAAAAACCAAAAATGCCGTAAAGAATAATTACAGTTAATTTACAATCATCCAAAGTATGATATTTTTTTTTTATTATCATTAATACATTTACGTCTGCAATAGGGATGGTTGAATACCAAATATTTGGCAAAAAAAATCAATCAAGTACCGAAAATTCAGCGACCAAATAGCAACATTTAAAAAAAAAAAATCATTAATAGGTATTATTTTTTATATACGAATAAGTTTAGTCATTATTGAAAATTAATAAAAACTTAGCTGTAATATTTAAGATAAATAAGAAACTAACTAACAGCTATTAAAAAATGAAGTTTTAATTAAAAAAAAAAAAAGAGAGAGAGAGAGAAAGAGAAAAAATTCTCTTAATTCTTTAAGTTAACTTTAATGCTAAAAATAATATTTTTCGAAAAAAAATGCATAAAACATTAAAAGAAATATTGTTTAACAGAAATACTTTTAAACAAGCGGCGCTATCATAACAATGCCACAAAAACGAAAGTTTATTTACAAAAGCTAAACAGAAAAAATAGAAATCAATCTTTGTATTTTCAAGAAAAAGTGAAGATTAAAAAAAAAAAAAAGTCTAAAGGAAACCTAATAGGTGTGTTCGCAGTATTTAAAACGTACCCCCAGATTCAGAAATTATACATCGCAATTCGAATGATCTTGATATTAAACATTGTGATTGTGATTCATATTCAAGCGTATCCGTATATTTTTAAAATTCAATATCAAGATTTGTATTCATACAATTTCAATTTTGAACATTGATTTATGTGCTTTAAAAGTTACACATTGTGATTCCTATTGACATGATTTAAAAATTACATACCGAACATGCCACAATTCAAATTCACACAATTTAAAAATCCAACAGCATGGTTCACATTCAGGCGTCTTTAAAATTCAAACATTGCCATTTGTATTCACACGATTTTAGACAACGTCCAGATTTGTATTTGCACGATTTCAGGCGCATCATTTGAAGGCTTTTCCGATTAAAAATGTTGTAAAAAAATATATTCAAATAAAATCTTTCATTCTTTGTGTTTATTCTAAATAAAAGATTTTTTTTCCCCTTTTCGCTAATTTCTTATCATAATGCAATTGCAATAATTTAAAAGTGAAAGGTAAATTATTCAAAATACAATTTATTTTCTTTAATCTTACTCTCATATGTTTAATACTTAATTAAATCGGGTTATGTTCTTTATGAAACAAGTTCCATTTAAAAATAAAAATAAAAATCGAGTTTTTACCTTTTAACCATTTATAACCAAGTTGATCTTTGTCGAAATTTGGGTTGGGCTTAATCGGTATTTTACAGTATTCTATTGTTTTGTAGATGCTTAAATATTGCAATTTAATTAATGTCCATTTTCAAATCAATTGGTAAATCTTCTAGATCAGTGATTCTCAACCTTTTTTTTTTGTTGCGGCACACTTTTAACAATTTCGAAATTTGACGGCGCACAATGAAAAAAATTAGATTAAAAGTTGTTTAATTACCTATTTTACACTGTGTTAAATAGTTTGTGATAATAATTTTGAATGTGAAATAAAATAATATGTACTACAAAAGCACATTTATTAAGGGATTAATTATTTCTTTCGACCAATTTTTTATTAGTTTGTAACAGTTATTTATTTTTTTGCTAGTTATTAATTGTTAGCTTGTTTTCTATAATTAGTAACTGTTATTTTTTTGTGATTTCTTGTTAACTAGTTTTTTTGCTAATTATGTATTAATTGTTAGCTTATTTTTGTTAGTTATCCTTTGTTAATTTATTTTTTATATATTTGTTTTTTTAGTTATCCTTTGTTAATTTGTTTATTAATCGCATAGCTTACTTTAATGATTAGCTCTTACAAAATTTTTTAAAATTGTGTGTCATATACAATTTAAACACTTCCATATTATTTTAAGATTGTCAGAGACAAGACAATTGCCGACAAAGATGTTCACGCGGTTAAAGCGTGGAAAAATTACAAAAAGTATAGATATATATATAATATTCTATACACTTTTCTTTCATTAAAACTTTACTTATAGTAAAAAAAGCATTATAATTCTTATTGTATCATTTCTAATATTTGGCGGCACATTTTAAGAATTTGGCGGCAGACAAAAGTGCCACGGCACATTGGTTGAGAATCACTGTTCCAGATCCTTGAAAAACGTTTTTTTAAATGAACTGATTTAAGTGAATAATTATTTACTAAGGGATTGCATAAGTCAAGGCTAAATTGGTGATGCAAAACATTGGCATATACATATAATTAAAATTTTTCCTAAAAACATCGTATTCAGTGGAAAAAAAAAGTAAATTTCATTTTTCTGATTTATAGGAAGATTTTGAGGCCCATGAAAGCTACAGGCCTGGCCAAGGGCTTAATGTGCCAGTCATTATGATGAAATAGTAGAAGTAATGGAGGTCACACTAAGAGCATCGACAGTATACATACGTAGACATAAACAATTTATAGAGAAAAAAAAATCTTATTTAAATATTTTGAATAAGATTTGAAATATAAATATTTTGAATAAGATTTGGTTGAAATAAAGAAAACGAAAATAAATATATTTTCTTTTAATTGTTTATGTTATATTATTTCATTTTGAAAATCAGTTGAAATAAATAATATCGTATTAAAAATATTGGACTTCAAAAGCTATGCGTAAATCCGTAGTTATATCTGCATGAAAAAATCGAACGAAAATTTCTAAAGGAAAGAAAACAAATTTTTTTACTTCGTTATTCTTTATTTTTCATTTATTTCTCAGATGAGAAATAAAAATTCACACGCATTCTTTCCCCCACTCCTGTGCTCGAGAAAGGCATCTTTGGAATAAAATTCTTAAGAAATAAAATATTTTGAAATTTTCTGCAGAAAAGGAAAGCAAAATTTTTTACTACCCAAAGTAAAAAAATCTTTTGGCAAGAACTCTGCAACATTCTTTGACAATGGCCCTGTGTCGCCACAGGTACACTACTTAAAATAGTACACAAACCGATAGTTGGAAAACGACATCTTAGCTAGACTGCTAATGTTAAAAAATGTAACCTTGAATAACGCAAAACATGAATAAAACACAACCAAAAGCACAAAAATGGGCATACTATAGTTTTGATTTTCTAAGACCTTCCCTCAGAGTCAAATACACAAAGTGTGAGAGTTTCGACACTGTGAGTATTCTTCCTTATGAAACAAACTATTTTTGTGTTTTATTTATTCAGTTTTGTTTCATTCACCCGCAGCACAAAATTTACACACCATTTTTTTATTTGGAGTGAAAACCCCTTCCTAAGCTATAGTTTTCCATAATCAGCTCTTAGTGGCACAAAATAAATGCATGTAAAATTAAAAAACCTAAACAACTCAAATATTGTAGACAAAAGTGCCACTCATCAGTAATCTTTTTTATATTGTATTTACAAAATCGACCATCATGGTACATTGTTACATTAACAACTGATTAGTGCAACATAAGTCTTATAATTAAAAAAAACAAAACAAGCTTAAAACAGGGCTATACATAAAGTTGCATCCAAATTTTGTTCTTTTGTGCATTTAAATAGATTAGAGCATTAAAAGAGAGGTAAGTAAAATCAGATCCAGCAGATGTATAAATGTAAACAAATCAACAATGGTTGTAAAAAGCCCTTTGAAGGTGGCTTGTTGACATGAATACTTGCCATTGCAACCCCTTACTTTAAGACATTAAAACGCTTTTTTACCACCATGATAATAGGACCTAGAGTATAGTAGCACACTCTTATCAGTCACTGATCAAAGGGCAATTTAACATCTTTCAAGTTTAACCCCATTTTTACAGATATGAGAAGAAAATGTGTAATTATTAGAGTTTTTTAAGATAAATTTTGAAAAATCCTTTAAATTTTGGAAAGACAAGCAAATTGCTGTAAACAAAACAGGAAGAAAAGTGTTTGGTTTGTGCATTGATCAACAGGGGAGATTTCCGAGTCTTGGCAACTTCCGGGCAGGGGTCCACGAGAAACTAAAAAAAAAAAAAAACAGAGAAAGGGCCCAACCTGAAACATATTACTCATATCTACATGCTTTTTTTTTAAATTTGAAAGTTTAAGCCAGGGAGATTGCAGTTAGGGGGAAAAAATCCCGACACGGAAATATCCCCGATTAACACAAAGAAACCAAAAAATTTTATTTCACACTTCTATAAAAATGTTAACTAATGATATAAAAAATTGTTACCTTCAAGGTCGACGTCTTGTAAACTTAGTTCTTCAATCGGAACGTTATCAATGATGTTTTCTTCAGGAGGTTCATCAGATTCTTTTTTGAAAGGTGTCATGACAAATTTTATAACTATTCTTAAATAAATAATAAAATGAAACTAAAGCTGTTAAATTAAAATTCAATTGATCAGAATTGGATTTTGTTTTGGTTTTTTTAGCTCATGTGACAATTTAAAGTTGGCTTGAACTTTGTTGATATATTTTCTTACATTTGTAACGAAATATTCTCACTGTGTTTAATTTGTCCCCGCAGATTCGTTCACGCTGCACTCAAAGAAAACTGTTACGCACTTATGATGTCACATTAAAAAGCAATGAAATCAATTAAGGGAGAATGGCAATTGAGAGAAAAATTTATATCAATGAAGAAAACATCAATCAGGTAATCAATTGCACGCAATTTCTTAAATAAGTGTAAAAAATGCAGGCAGTGACAACAGTCCTTTATTTCCACAACAAATAATTTTAGTGCGTTTTCGTTACCAGGAGGGATAATTATTTCGCACTAGACTTTAGTGCGGAATATTTCGTACTCGTCAGGACTAATGGTTTCATAAAACATTCAACTGTACAGAAATAATCAATCAATCTAATATGAGCTAACAAGAATCTAAACAATCATTCCATCAACTAAGCCCATGTGCTTCAAATTTATTTTCAAAATAGTGGGTGTCTTAAATTTTTGTCGATAAACTGCTTAATTAGGCCGAAATAAATTTCAAAATTTTATGAAATATTATCGACCTGAGAAAATGTTTCATACTCCACATAGGTCTCACTCACATCTCGATGCAGATATAATCAAATTACGCCGTAGAATCAATGATATCAAAGAAAAAAATATTATTTTTCGCCAATCTTTAAAGCAGAATTTTAAGGATAGAAAAAAAGATTTGAAAGATAGTGAGCTGAAAGAAAAAATAAAATGTAATTTTCTGGATGAAGAAGAGGTTTCTGTGATTGAAATGTGTCACAAAAAAACTTTCGAGTTAGTAAAGACAGATAAAAATATGAGACTTAATTCGAAGAAAACTGCAAAATGTTCAACTCCAAGCAGTTATGAAGTATTGGAGTTAGAAGCCTCATCTATTAGCAATGTAAATAAATCTCTTATGGACCACACATCAATAGTTGAAAAACAACATACCGTAAAAGAAAAAAATCAAGAAAATGATCTAAGTGGTAGCCAAAATGAAGTGGAAGTTGTTGAACTTTTTGATAACAGTGATAGTATTCTTACAACTCCTATTCAGAATAAAATAAGAAAAGGGAAGAAATGGAGCCTACAATGTTCTGTTGTTGAAAATACATTTCCCACTACTTTGGAAATTAATAATAGTATACCAAAACCGGTTTCCAATAACATTAACCAAAGAAATATCAGTAATATGCAATGTAATTCAGACAATCCTTATCATAGTAACTTGTTAAATTCTTCAGATAGAAACCATTCTAAATCTGCAGCTAAAAACCAATATCTCAATATGTCTCAAAAAAATCTGTCTTATGTTTTGGATTCGTGTCAACAATCAAAGCTATCAATGTCTAACAAGAATGATTTTGTTTCTGTTGAAAATATTGATCAGGATGTAATTTATCTAAGTGATATTAGTCGTTCCTCAAATGATAGAAAGAAAAAGAATACTATATTAACTAATGGAAACAGAGTTACTTTCAATAGAAAAAATGAAAGGAGTTGTAGAAATGAAGGTAATAAGAAACAGTGCAAAAATAGAAAGGGATATATTATTGAACCTAGTATGAGTAATGATATCTCAGTTATTTCTGATAGTAGTATTGAAGAAAAAGAAGTAAATGTTTGTCGAACTTCTGATATTCAGTATTTAAAAACAGTTGATTTTTCTGATGTAGTTACTGTTTCTGATGATACGAACGATGAGAGTAATAGTAATGTAACTGTTTTAAAAAATTTTGAGAGCCTTGTCCCTGAAATATCCATCGAACAATCTGAAGAAGAAGCTGATCATATCGAAGACACACAGAGCTTAAATGAGAAATTGGAAAAGCATTCTGAATATATTGTGCCATCTCTTGATTTTGAAGAAGAACCTGTTGATTTTCCTGTTCCTTTTCTTCACATGCAGGGGACTCTTTCGTTTTCTGCTGATAAAATTAAAACCTGGCAATCACAAGGTATTTTTATCAAAAATGGCCCATTTTCCAAAGAAGAAGAAGCATTGCTGAAAAGAAATGTAAGAGATTTTCAATCTCGATTTAAAGTTTATAATACTCGTTTATTGCTCGGAATTGGACGTCAACTTCCGTCCTTTAAAAATGAATATAGTCGTATAAGAAAATTCTTGAAAGCCAAACACTTTTATGAAAGATTAGGTAAAGACATCAATAATAGAACTCTTCATTCTCTATATAAAAAAGCTAGGCATTTATTTAGTCCATTTTCAAAGAAACAAGGTAAAAAATCTATAGCAAGTGATAAAGTAGTAATTAAACAAATTATTAAATTGCAGGAAAAATATGGCAAAAAGTGGATTTTAATTGGACAAATTTCAGGGTTGGATCCTTCTTATTGTGAACATATTTTTTCATATTACAAGAAGCCAATTGTAAGAGGCAAGTGGTCTCAATCAGAGATTGAACATTTGGTTTTAGCAATAAAAAAGAATGCTAAATCTCCTGATTTAATTGAGAATTGGGGAAAAATAGCTGAGCTTGTACCTTCACGAAATGCACAACAATGTAACGGTTTTTGGACTTGTCATCACATGCAACTTAAAGAAAGGTTTTTTACATCTTGAGTTTTTAAACTTATATTATTAAATAAGAATATTTAAAGTTACTTATAACTTGATTATTATATTTATTCTATGGCTGAAATTATATTAACATGATTCTCATTATAATCTTCTCTTATAAATAATGTCTACACAATATATATATATAATATGTATATATATTATTTATTTATTTTTTTGAAAGATTAAATTATGTTTCAGAAAAATTTGTGATATATATGTAGGAATTTTTGGATTTTAAGAAATTTAAAATCTATGTTAATATGCTGTAATTCAACTTTATGGTTTCTCAAAATTTATGAACTTCACCATTCTATTTATTTAAAAAAATTTTTTAGCTTATGTATATATCAGGGTTGGCAAGTTTTTTACACATGACGGTTTTTAGAGGTTTATACCATGGTTTTTACCCTCATGTTGAAAACCCATAGTTTTGATAAAACTGTAGTATTTTAATTTGAGTTTAACTGCTTATGATTAAAATTAATTCATTTTTGGGCAATAAAATTAGAAAAAAAGTTGTTAAAAGATATTTAAGAACAGATTGTTGCATTTTCCCAACATGATTATATCAAATCATACTATTTGAAGTAAAGTATTAGGATACTAAACAAAATTTTCAACATTTCCAAGTATCATTTTCTTTGGCATATTACATTACTGAAGAATGTCAAGTCATTCCTGACTTAGAGTTTGTTAGTAGTTACAAGTTTTGAAAGTTTTGTTTAGCTTATTTCTAATATTTAAGAAATGCCAAATTTTAAATTCTTCTTTTTAGTTCTTGAATTTATTAATAGTTCCAAGTTTTTTTGTTTGTTTGTTTATTTCTAACAATTAAGAAGTGCAAAATTTTGAATCCTTTGCAAATCAAGCTATAATGATAAAAGTTAAGTATCACTATTTTCAATAAGTATGTTACAATATTTCTGTATGAATGTATATCCTGCCATAAGAATACATGTATATCGTTGCAAAATCAATAGCAATCATTAGCAACATTCATTTATAAAGACAATTAAGTGAAAATAATATATTGTCCGCTATATGCCATAAATGAAAGAAACTGTAGGTTTTTGACCGTTTTTACCGGTAAAAACACGGTTTTTACCACTGTCGTGTCAAAAACTGGTTTTTGACAGCAAAAACCCAACCCTGGTATTTATGTTTGTTGACAAATTAAATATCGTTCGAATAAAGTTGGAATAATTTAAAACTTTCATAACTTCATTTTTGTTTTAAAAACTAAGTTCATTAATTTCAGTTTTTCTTATGCCTATTTAGTTCTTAGCCTATTCAGTTTCTTAGTCTATTCAGTCTTTCGAGCCTACTATTTTTTTAGCATATTCAGTTTTTCTTTTGCTTAGAGTAAACAACAAATCGTATGCTAATACAAATTAAAATAAGTTTATAGATAAATTCAATTAAAATAACTTAACTCTAGCACATAAATTCATTTTGTGATGCAGCCATAATATGTGCCCCATGATATGATTTTTTGTTGGATTTTTGATGTCATTTGTTTCACAATTTTGGTTAGAAGCTGGTTTTTGAGCTTTTCTACCTTTTTAATAAGTTCTTTTGCATAGTTTTTCACTTTATAATTGCAGTTTGTAATTCTTACTAGGATGTTAAGCTCTGCATATGCCTTGCTTTAAGCAATTTATTTAAACTAAGATTTCTGAAATATACTTATTTATAACTTAACTTCCAAATTCGAAAAATTTCTTCATGTGTCTAAACTGAACCATGGCATTCTGAATGATTGAAACTAACTAAAAGTAAAGGTAATGACTACCAAAAATGTAACAACCTTCTAACTTGTGTAATTCATTAAATATCTGCATTTATCTACTCTTCTTCTTCTTAATACGACTAACAGAAATAAAAAACTTCTCTTATGGGACTTCTAGATTGATATTGTACTTAGTTGTTTGAACTAATGATATGCATGATTTATTAAAAAGTTTTATGTTTTATTAAAAATGTACTATAACTAGTGGGGAAAAAAAACATGAACCTTAAATAAATTCGCTAGAAATGATGTCAATTTTTACAAAATAGTGAAGTTAAGTGATTAAGTAATATATTTTTTAAATTTAGGTTTAACAGGAGCATTTAGGGGTAACTGCTAAAAAAATAACAAATTTTAACTAATGTATACATAAATATGTGTAAACAATATATACAATTGTATAGTAATGAAACAGTTAAATTTTTTTTTTTTTTATAATGAATTGTGTTTGTCTATGCTGTTGGAAACAATTTTTTTTAATTCTTGGAATTCCGTTATGAAATCTTTTCCTTGTTTATAAATCTGGGTAAAAGATGGTTACAGCAATTTTTTTAAGATGCTAGAAATTTTTAATTTTAATTGTCATGAAATTGCTATAATCACAATCAAACGAAAAATATTTCTTCATCAACTTTATTACCTTTAGATTTTAATTTTTCAAACTGTAATTTGAAATAAGTGATTTTATATAATATTTATGAGTAGTGTAGTATTTCACAATGCACAGAGAAAATAATAACTAAATAAATAAATAAAAAATCTCTCTGAGTAACTTTTAATCTAATGATTAGATCTTCACATATTAGTGGAGTAGTTCAAGAGAAACCGAACTTTAAAGAAGTCTTATTTCTAAAATTTGTTTTATCAAGAACTATTCAAACGATTTCATTAAAATTTTGCCCTATAAAATTACATTCTGTAAAATAATGTAATTAAAATCTTAAGTAACTTAATAGCATTCAAACTTAATTTAAGGTAAAGTCATGGTACATCGAAATCCAATTGTAGTGTATCTACCACTACAAAATTACAACTACAATTCACTAGTATATAAGACATGTTAACTCGACTCTATGCTGGGGTACCTTTTCATAGATGACGGTTGACATGGTCTGATACTCCTCTCCCCACATTGGTGACCTTCGGACGTGATGTGAACACGCCTACCTTGGCAGTAACGCCCACTTCGATATGAACACGCCTACCTAGACAGTAACGCCTACTTCGATGGATGATCCACATTGAAAAGTTGACTTGCAGCTTGGACTGCGACATTTTCCACCTCCTCGCACTGTTTCTACTCAGTCTCGTCTCAATCACGCACAACGTCGGCTGGCATACTTGTGATTACTCGACTGCTAGCGGCAACACAGGAGCGACTACGACCGTGAAGTTAATACACCTCTCACATTCAGCACTCAAAAAATTCGGTGATCTTAATACAGATCTCCCGGCTTCTCACAAAACAGCAATGAATCAACTAGTGGTATTCGTTCATCGAATTCTATCACAGATGTAATTCTGGTGGGGGAGTACTGTAGTGTATCTACCACTACAAAATTACAACTACAATTCACTAGTATATAAGACATGTTAACTCGACTCTATGCTGGGGTACCTTTTCATAGATGACGGTTGACATGGTCTGATACTCCTCTCCCCACACCAATCATTAAATCAAAAGTTATTCGACTTGTTTTATTTATTTTTGCGCTCTGTACGTCCTATTTTGACATAAAGTTTTTTAAAAAAATTGGGTGTGATAAAATAAAATTTTCATACGACTGAAATTTTTCATGTAGGTGATGTAACTCTGTTTTTTGTTTGTTTTTTTGTTTGTTAATTTTTAATATAGCAAGTTCCAATAAAAAACCCAACTGATGGAAGTAATGGGACAAACACAATTACATATGTCATATTTTTTTTTAATGTCATATTTTTTTTAAAGATTAAAGATAAGTGCTAACTTTACTAATAATTTTTTTAAAAAAAAACAACATTTTATTTGTTAAAAAAAGAATATGTAGGAATTTATTGATTTTACCTCTAAATATTTATCTCTATGTCTATTGCTCTAATTGCCCCCACTCACTCATTCCACCTGTCTCCATTATGTGATAATAAATTTTTCCTTTTTTTTATTTATTATTCTTTTTGAATGTACATTTTAAAACTTTTGTAAATTTTACCTATAGAATGAAACTTGATCGAAAGAATGTTCCTGTTTCAGACTGAGGTGATATTAAGAAACTCCGTCAAACCAAAGTGGTCCATAGAAGCCTCGAGTTGGGGTTGCCTTGATCCAAAATTTCAAAAATAGTGAAAAAAAAGGGATTTTTTTTAAAAAATTGCACATTTTATTTACTTATACTATGTTAATTGGTTAAAACACAATTTGGACAAAGATTGATAACTTCGTAAGTAAAAATGCCAAAAAGTGACTAAGTAGGCTTTGTGAACTGTAAGCTAAAAGAAGAGGAAATATTTTTATAATTTTAATTATATTTTTTACTGTTCAAGATTCTTAATATTACCAAATTAATAAATTGTGAAATATAGAACTAATTAAGAATTAGGATTATAAATCGTTTTAAAAACTCTTGGATTTTTGGTCCAATAAGGATGATGCAAATTAAAATATAATTCTTCAATTTTGAATGGTGATCGACAATTATTACGAGTTAATATTGAATATGGTAGTTTTCGGTAACAAAAGTAAAAATTGATTTTTAAACGCTTGACAACGATAATGTCAAGCTTTTGAAATAAATGCTAAAAAATAAAATTTAAAATTTTCAGTAATGTTCAAGGAAATGCTCTACTCAAATAGCTAGAAAATTGAACAATTAGAATCTCTTGAACAACAAGAAAAGTAAAAATACAATAGCTTTTAAAAGCAGTTTTAATATAAAATAAATATTGATAACATTCTGTCTCCAAAGTTGAGCTGTCAACATGAAAATAGCATGACATGTGAGAAAAGCGGTCAGGGCATGATAAAGTTTGACCCTTAGTGAGAAAGAGTAGGACAGCATTTAGAACGTGTGTCCTTCCCTTGTGTGAGCAGTTATTAGGGGGACCGAAAAGTAATGTCGTTTTGGTGCATTTGATATTTGTTATCAAGATTTTATTTTTAATCAATAATGTATTTACCCTCATTAGCAGCAACCTTTCAAGGCCGGATCAAAAAGAAGGAATTGTTTTTTAAACTAAGGAATAACCCCGAAACGACATTACTTTCCGGCCTCCCTAACAGGGTCGTCTTAATAATACGCAGGGCCCCCGTGCACAGAAATATTTTTGACCTTTTAATAGGACATACTGCTTAAAATCGAACTAAAAAAACTTCACATACACAAAATAAAGCATTTTTAACTTAGCAATCATTTGAACAGATTTAAATAAAATTTGATTTAAATTTGTTTTTAGTAGACACAAAAAAACTAAATTCACATAAAAACTTCATTGGAACTTAGAAAAATAGATTTCAGTTGTTTTTTTAAGTTTCCCTGGTGAGAAACTATTCAAATTATTGTTGTTTGTATAATAATCACTATTTGTAGAAAGAAAAACAAATTACACACTATATAGAATATATTTATTTAAAAAAAAATTTATGTAAGGCGTAAAATAAAGAATTCTTAGGATAAAAAAACGATTTTAAAAATTCCTCATAATGAAATAAAAAAAACTATATTGTTTCTCTTTTTATTCTTATAGTTCTTAATCAGACGTAAAAAAGCATTCTGTAGAGAACTATCATCAAATGAGAAAAAAAAAATATTTACAAGCAAATTTTTTATTATAAAAATCATAACACTTACCTGATTTATAATTCCGGAGAATTCCAAAATGATATGTTCTTTGTTTGAAAACTTTATTCTCAAATAATAGATACATAGTTTATCCCTTCATTACTTTTAGATAACATACTACACAGCAAAATTTTATAATTGATATGAATTTGAATATGTAGCTAAAAACAGAATAGCTGAATTCTAGTTGAACTTATTCTTTCAAAATTAAAAAAAACTTACCAAGAAAAATATAAAAATTAATTAAGAATCAGCACAAATGGCACTATTTCAAGTAATTTGGATAATTTTTTATTGTTGTTTTCCGAATTATATGGATACAGAAATATATAACTATTACAGCTCTGTACGTTCTGAATTCATATTTATTGGAACATTAATTATTTATTACACACATCTGTAACAGTATGCGATAGCGAAATCGGAAGTTATCAATTGCAAGTTTGTTGATCATAAAAGTTAAAAATTATTGAGGAATTTTTCTTCAAATGTTTGACATGTTCTGTTTCTGAAAGATTTACCAATATTCTGGAGAGTTTTTTCAAGTTCTGCAGCCTTTTTCATAGGGAAATTTTGTTTCTTATTTGCAGTTAAGAAAAAGGCGTCTGATTTTGCCTATGCTTTTGATGGAACTAAATGAAAACGTGATAAATTAATGTCTGATATTTACAGGCTCTCGCTAGAGGGCGTACTCAATGTCAATTTTTATCAACAACAAATTTTTATCAATGAAAAAAACATTAATCAGGTAATCAATTGCACGCAATTTTTTAAATAAGAGCAAAAAATGTAGACATTGACAACAGACCTTTACTTCTTCACACAAATAATTTTAGTGCGTTTTTGTTGCCAGGAGGGGTTAATTATTTCGCACTAGACTTTAGTGCGGAATTTTTTCTTCCAACGCAGATCTAATGGTTTCATAGAACATTCAACGGTACAGAAATAATCAATCAATCTAATTTGAGCTAACAGGAATCTAAACAATCATTCCATCAACTATGCCATGTGCTATTTATTTTCAAAATAGTGGGTGTCTTAAATTTTTGTGGATAAACTACTTAATTTGGTGGAAATAAATTTCAAAATTGTATTAAATATTATCGACCTGAGAAAATGTTTCATACTCCACATAGGTCTCACTCACATCTCGATGCAGATATAATCAAATTACGCCGTAGAATCAATGATATCAAAGAAAAAAATATTATTTTTCGCCAGTCTTTAAAGCAGGATTTTAAAGATAGAAAAAAAGATTTGAAAGATAGTGAGCTGAAAGAAAAAATAAAATGTAATTTTCTGGATGAAAAAGAGGTTTTTGTGGTTGAAATGTGTGACAAAAAAATTTTCGAGTTAGTAAAGACAGATAAAAATATGAGACTTAAATCGAAGAAAATTCCAAAATGTTCAACTCCAAGCAGATATGAAGTATTGGAGTTAGAAGCCTCATCTGTTAGCAATGTAAATAATTCTCCTATGGACCACACAGCAATAGTTGAGAAACAACATAGAGTAAACGAAAAAAATCAAGAAAATGATCTAAGTGATAGCCAAAATGAAGTGGAAGTTGTTGAACTTTTTGATAACAGTGATAATATTCTTACAACTCCTATTCAGAATAAAATAGGAAAGGAAAAGAAATGGAGCCTACCTTTATGTTCTGTTGTTGAAAATACATTTCCCACTGGTTTGAAAATTAATAATAGTAAACCAAATTTGGTTTCCAATAACATTAACCAAAGAAATATTAGTAATATGCAATGTAATTCAGACAATCCTTATCATAGTAACGTGTTAAACTCTTCAGATAGAAACCATTCTAAATTTGCAGCTAAAAACCTGTTAAATTCTTCAGATAGGAACCATTCTAAATGTGCAGCTAAAAACCAATATCACAATATGCCTGAAGAAAATCTGTCTAATGTTTTGGATTCATGTCAACAATCAAGGCTATCAATGTCTAACAAGAATGATTTTGTTTCTGATGAAAATATTGATCAGGATGTAATTTATCTTAGTGATGTTAGTTATTCCTCAAATGATAGAAAGAAAAAAAATACTATATTAACTAATGAAAATAGAATTACTTTCAATAGAAAAAATAAAACAAGTTGTAGAAATGAAGGTAATAAGAAACAGTGCAAAAATAGAAAGGGATGTGTTATTGAACCTAGTATGAGTAATGATGTCTCAGTTATTTCTGACAGTAGTATTGAAGAAAATGAACTAAATGTTTGTCAAACTCCTGATATTCATTATTTAAAAACAATTGATTTTTCTGGTGTAATTACTGTTTCTGATGATACAGACAATGAGAGTAATAGTAACGTAACTGTTTCAAAAAATGTTGAAAGCCGTGTCCCTGAAATATCCATCGAAGTATCTGAAGAAGAAGCTGATCATATCGAAGACACACAGAGCTTAAATGAGAAATTGGAAAAGCATTCTGAATATATTGTGCCATCTCTTGATTTTGTAGAAGAACCTGTTGATTTTCCTGTTTCTTTTCTTCACATGCAAGGGACTCTTTCGTTTTCTGCTGACAAAATTAAAACATGGCAATCACAAGGTATTTTTATCAAAAGTGGCCCATTTTCCAAACAAGAAGAAACTTTGCTGAAAAGAAATTTGAGGGCTTTTCAGTCTCGATTTAAAGTTTATAATACTCGCTTATTGCTTGGGATTGGGCGTCAACTTCCATTCTTTAAAAATGAATCTTGCCGTATAAAAAGATTTTTGAAAGCTAAGCACTTTTATGAAAGATTGGGTAAAGACATCAATAATAGAACTCTTCATTCTATATATAAAAAAGCTAGGTTTTTATTTAGTCCATTTACAAGGAGACTAGATAAAAAATTTGCAGCTAGTGATAAAGAAGTAATTGCACAAATTATACAATTGCAAGAAAAATATGGCAAAAAGTGGATTTTAATTGGACAAATTTTGGGATTAGATCCTGCTTTTTGTGCAAATATTTTTTCATATCACAAAAAGCCTTTTGCAAAAGGCCGGTGGTCTGAAAGCGAGATTGAACATTTAGTTTTAGCAATCAAAAATAATTCTAAATCGTCTGATTTAATTGAGAATTGGGAAAAAATAGCAGACCTTGTACCTTCCCGAAATGCCAAACAATGTTACAGGTTTTGGACTAGTCATCACATGCGACTTAAGGAAAAGTGTTTTGCATCTTGAGTTTTTAAACTTATATAATTAAATAACAATATTTAAAGTTACTTATGACTTCATTATTATATTTGTTGTATGGCTGAAATTATTTTTACATGATTCTTATTATAATCTTCTCTTACAAATATTGTCTATTGTCAACACAATATATATATATATATNTTTATATATTATTTTATTTTATTTATTTATTTTTTTGAAAAATTTTAAATCCATGTTGATTTGTGATAATTCAACTTTATTGTTTCTCAAGAATTTTGAATTTTTCCATTCTATTTATTTAAAAAAAATTTGTTTTGCAAATGTATATACAATTGTTGAAAAATTAAATATTGTTGAAATAAAAGTTAAAATAATTTCAAATTCTTATAACTTCATTTTTGTTTTAAAAAATTAAGTTCATTAATTTCAGTTTTTCTTATGCTGACTTAGAGTAAACTAAAAATGCATGCTAACACTACAAAATGAAAACAAGTTTTTATATAAATTCAGTTCAAATAGTTTAACTGTAGCACATCAATAGTGTAGCCATGATATGTACCCCTAGACCTAATTCAGTCTCACTTGCATTTCATGTTGTTTAAAATATAGAATTAGGGCCAATTTGTTCTTCTTTTGAAGCAATAGGGCTAATTTTTTTTAATGTCCTATGTTTAACAATTTTGGTTAGAAGCTGGCTTTTGAGCTTAAGTTCTTTTGTGTAGTTTTTCACTTAATAATTGCAGTTTGTAATTCTCACTAGGGTATTAAACTCTGCATATGCCTTGCTTTAAGCAATTTACTTAAACTAAGATTTTTGAAATATATATATTTATAGCTTAACTGCCAAATTCTAAAAATTTCTTCATGTCTTAACTATCTAAACCATGATTGCGTATGATAGGAAATAACCAAAAGTAAAGTAATAACTACCAAAAATGTAGCAACCTTCTAACTTGTGTAATTCATTAAATACCTTAATTTATATACTCTTCTTTCAACTCTTAATGGGATTAATAGAAATAAAGAACATGTCTCAGATTGATAATGTACTTAGAGGTTTGAACTAATGATATGCATGATTTATTACAAGTATTTATGTTTTATTAAAAATGTACTATAACAAGAGCCAAAAAAAAAAAAAAAAAAAAAAAAAAAAANAAAAAAAAAAAAAAAAAAAAAAAACAAACATGAACCTTAAATAAATTAGCTAGAATTGATTTCAGTTTTAACAAAATAGTAAAGTCATAATTGATTAAGTAATAAATTTTTTAAATTTAGGTTTAACTGCTAAAAAAATAACTAATTTAAACTACTGTATACAGAAATGCATGCAAACAGTTTGTACAATTGTACAGTAATGAAACAGCGACAATTTTCTAATTTTTTTTCTTCTTATAATAAATTGTGTTTCTCTGTGCTGCTAGAAATTTTTTTTTTAATTCTTGGAATTCTGTTAGGAAATATTTTCCTTGTACCTATAAATCTGGGCGAATGACGGTTACGACAATTTTTTTAAGGTACTGGAAATTTTTTAAATTTTTTTTTATGAAATTGCCTTAATCACATTCAAGTGAAAAAATATTTGTTCATCAACTTTGATACCTTTTGATTTTAATTTTTCAAACTGTAATATGAAATAAGTGATTTTATATAATATTTATGAGTAGTGTAGTATTCCCTGTGCATTGTGAAATGCACAGGGAAAATAATCACTAAATTAAATAAATAAAATAAAACTTAATATAAGGAACTTTCGATCTAATGATCAGATCTTCACATACTAGGACTATGAAATTAGTGGAATAGTTTCAGAGAAACCGAACTTTAAGGAAGTCTTATTTCTAAAATTTGATTTCTCAAAAACTATTCAAATGATTTCATTAAAATTTTGCCCAATAAAATTACATTCTGTAAAATAATGTAATTAAGATCTTAATTATGTAATATTCTTAATTAACTTAATAGGACTCAACTTAATTTAAGGTAGAGCCTTAATACATTGAAATCTGATCATTAAATCAAAAGTTATTCAGCTTTATTTATTTTTTGCTCATTATACATCCTATTTTGACATGAAGTCTAAAAGAAATATTGGGTGTGATAAAATAAAAGTTTCATATGACTGAAATTTTTTATGTATGTGATGTAACTCTGTTTTTTAAATTTTTTTTGTTAATTTTTAATATACAGTCGGACCTCTATTTAACGAAGTCGCTAAATCCCGATAATAAATTCATTATGAGGAAAATTCGTTAAACAGAAAATCACCTTTTAAAATACTTAAACAACACAAAACAGGTTTTAAATTCATAAATACTAGGCATAATTAAAATAGCAATTGATGAACCTTTATCTTGTAAACTAGTATCTACTATTTATTTTATAAATCTTAATCATAAAAGAAATCTGCATGGAAAGCAAGAATAGAGAAAAACCTTATCCAGGGTTACACAATCATGCTACATTCATTTTCAACCAAAAAAAGCTAAATCTATGTATAAAATTATAGTTGCATTTATTATAACAATAATTTTAAACATACATTACCGCATGTGCGTTCTTAAGTTTAATTGGGACTGAGTTTTTCGTTTGCAATTCAAGAAAAAAGAGAAAGGGATTTTACTGCTTTCTCTAAAAGTTATTTTAGAGAAAGCAGTAAAACAGTGGATAAAAGCAGTGGCTTCTTAAATTAATTCAAGTTCATTTCCCCCATAAAATGCGTTAACAAGTTTACAATGTTCTGAAATATTTTGGAAAATAGGGAAAGGGAATCTTGAAGAAAAATTCGTCAAATAGAAAATTCACTTTGCTATTTGGAAGTTATTTTATGAAGAAATTTCCAAAATGTTCTTGGTTCCTCGAAAAAATTTGCTAAATGCAGATGCTCGCAAAATGAAGGTTCGTTAAATAGAAGTCCGGCTGTATTTCATTTAACCCATAGCAAGTTCCAATAGAGTCCGAATTATGGAAGTAATGGGACAAACACAATTACTTATAAAGATCATATATATATATATATATATATATATTTTTTTAATAAATGCTAACTTTACTACGAATTTAAAAAGAAAATATTGGAATTTATTGATTTTTTCTCTAAATGTTTAATTCTATATCTATTGCACCCACTCACTCCTTCCCTTAGTAACCTATCACCATTATGTGATAATAAATTTTTCTTTATTTTATTTATTATTCTTTTTTAAGGTAAATATTAAAATTTTTGTAAATTTAACCTATTGAATGAATCTTTATCGAGAGAATGTTCTTGTTTCAGACTGTTCTTGTCAACTGGAAGCTAAAAAAAAAAAAGAAATATTTTCATATTTTTAATTTTTTTTTTTACTGTTAGAGATTCTTAATGTTACCCAATTATCATTAAAAAATAGTTAAACATGGAAATAGTTAAGAACTAGAATTATAAATTGTTTTAAAAACTCCTGGGTTTGGTCCAATATGGATATGTATGATGTAAATTAAAATATAATTCTTCAATTTTGAGTGGTGATCGACAATTATTACAAATTAATATTGAATATGTAGTTTTGAATAACAAAAGTAAAAATTGATTTTTAAACGTTAGACAATGATAATGTCAAGCTTTTAAAGTAAGCACTACAAAATAAAATTTAAAATGTCTCTCTACTCAAATAGCTAGAAAATTGAACAATTAGAATCTCTTGAACAACTAGAAAAGTAAAAAATAGAAATGCGGTCATAATAATAATAAATGCAAAAGGTTTAAGTGCAGTTTTTATATTAAATAAATATTGATAACATTCTATCTCCAAGGTTGAGCAGTCAACATTAAAATAGCATTACATGTGAAAAAAGGGGTCAGGGCATAATGAAGTTTGACCCTAGTAGTGAGAAAGAGCAGGAATGCATTTAGAGTGTATGTCCTTCCCTTGTACGAGCAGTTTTTAAGGGTGCCGAAAAGTAATGTTTCGGTGCATTTGATATTTGTTATCAAGATTTTATTTTTAATCAATAATGTGTTCACCCTCATTAGCAATAACCTTTCAAGGCCGGATCGAAAAGAAGGAATTGGTTTTTGAAACTGAGGAATAACGTCGAAACATTATTTTCTGGCCTCCCTAATATTTTTCACCATAGTTGCACAATATCAACTTCACTGTACGCAATATATAAAATCAAATGCCTTGTTGAATTATTTTAATTGTGGAGTGTTTAAAGATTTATTAATTCTGTATTAGTGTTCTTCAAATCATGAAATATTTTTAAAAGTAATTCAACTTAAGAAGTTAGAGATCTGTCATTCAAAAATTAAAGTTCATTTAAATTTGACCCTCACTTAAGCAGACCGAAATTTTCCATTATAAAAATCTGTGCTGTTGTTTACTATATGAGTAACACTATTTCTGTACAATGTCCGTGTAAAAAAACTTTTTGTTTGTAAATAAATTAAAAATCTTAAGCTTCAAACCAACACTTTAGAAGAACATCCTTTTTCTCTCCTCTTCCTTTTGATCCCTTACAGAAAAGATAGAAATAGTTAAAGCTTTCTTTTTGTATAAACTTTAACCGCACTCAATTTCATATTGTAGCTGCTGTTTCGAGAGGAGTGCGATAGCTAGCTAAATGGAAGCCTAGGAAGTGACTGGATGAGCAATTAGAAAAGCTTGTCGAAAAGTTTATTGTATTGAATTAATTTTCTTAACTTTTGAGGGGATTCTAACTGATCACCAGGGGCTACAGCTTCATGAATGACCGCTACACGCATTCTCAATTGACGCTTAACATCCGCTGGGTAAAATAAACAGCGTAAACTTATTAAAAAAACATCTGAGCAATTGAATAACAAGCAACTGTATACCTGGAAATGACACTTTGTATCGGGTAGTGTCCCGTAAACTTAAAAAAAGTACCAGTGCAAGGGTTAGAATTTCGTTTACCCCCGGGATAATCGCGGGATTTTGTCATGGGCTTCTTCGTCATATAACGTTAATATAGGTTAATTTTCNAATATTTTTTCTGCATCATCATATGGAAAATGTTCTACATCTACTTTTTTATCAGCTATTCTCATTAGGTTGCTCAAATGCGTGTTTGTTTCATTTTGATCGTTTCTACCCACATTTGTTTCATTTTCATTTATCCGTTTCAGATTAGAATATATTGCCTTTACAAG